TTTTGTCCCTCTATTTGCGTTAGCGGTGTTTAAGACAGAAAAGGCCGCAATGGCGGTTTCCCGGCCGACCTTTGCAGCAATCTTGTCTCGACAAGACATTGGAGACACCGGTACAGTGGGTTAGTGTTCGGCTGTGATTCATCCTGTTAGAACCCAAGGGGCAGACGGTAATTGTTTATTTCTAAAGTGGCTTACACTAGGTGTGTTCGTCCATACCTTGGAGGCGTCCGCTCATCTGCGTGATCTCCATGGAGTGTTCCCTAACTGGTACTTGCCTCTGTGTTCACTCCTCGTACGCATGGAACTGTAATCCTGATGTCATCTTCAACTTTGGGGAAGTCGGCAGGGCTCGCTGTTGGTGTGTCATCTTGAACCGCCACACTACTTATACCCGGCGCAGTAGTATCTACCTTTAATTCACCGCAATCCTTTTTACTGCTAAATGTCAGGTCTAGTGGTATTTGGTTAACCAGAAGTTTCGATTGGTGCCTGATTTTCTTTTCCATGAGTACTGTTTGACTCACGTTGGTAGGACCAGTTTACGCCCGATGTCCTACTTAAACTGGAAAAGATAACGGATATGGGGACCTGACTGATTGAGGTTAAGGGGAAGCAGATTATGCAGCACTCCGTTGCTTTAGAGGCCACTACGCTTCCTTGGTGCATATTTGATTCCACTGAAGTAATCTTATCGTTCATCCTCTTCTCGGCTTCAGCTGTTAACCGGTCGCACTTCTGAGCTAAGATAAGCGAGCACGTAACGCGTGGGATGGTCGAGTGCGCAGTACAGGGCCAAAGCGCATCTCGTGAGCTATTTCGCTCTCGTACCTGTTGTTGGGACAGGTTTTCACATATCGTATGATACTATTCCAAACAATGCGAGCAAGCCAGGCCGATTTTAACTAATCGATGGCATTCCCCTAACCCGCAAATGTCTTTTGATCGGAGCCTTTATGGATTCGCATTTATGCCAGTAGAGTTGGTGTCGTTGCCTGACCCAGTAGGTTGGGTGCGTTTTGTACTTTTCCAGCTTTGAGTGCGGCGCACATCGGTCAGGCGAGCGTTGTGGTTGCAAAGTCAAATGAGCTGTCGGCGTGGTCGCGCGGTCCGTGTGATAGGTTATGCTGCCGCACTTGCTGACAAGATCACAGGGAATGACGAGTAACGAACCTGTTAACTGAATCTGAATACAGCGCTGAACACAGATTGAGAGCTCACGAATTCTTTCACATTTGTGTAGAGAAACACAGGATTGGAATAAGCTTAGTTTTTTTTGGACTGCCTCTAGAATTCCGTATCGAATGGTGTCACACTGAAAAGCAACCGACTCAAGGTGATTGAGTTATGCGCTTGCGCTTAATCACAAATGACAGTGAAAGTGGTTAGTGATGGCACGGATTTTAGTTGTAGAAGATAATTCCACTATGATGGATCAGCGTGTAGAGCTGGTAAATCTGGTTCGAATGAGCGTAGATCGACAGTGCTACGACAGGATGGAGAGAGAATAGAGAGGAGTAATCCAAATGACCCAGCAGCACGCAAGTCACGCCTGTGGGTAGATAATCTTGAGGACGGAGTTCGTGGTAGATCAGAGAGGTGGACGTAGTGCACTGTGGAGGAGCCTCTTATGACCGACACCCCCAGTTGGTCCTCCAGCCACCTGCACTGGTTTGACTAGTTCTCATGGTGCCGCACAGTTTGGAGTAAGGACTATGTTTCAATGTAACGGCGTGGTGTTTGTAGTCATTTAGAGCTTGATAGTATATTGCCTCACTGCAGCGCCTACGAGCTTTACTCTATTTCAGTATGATATGTGGAGTCTATCTCTAGGATTTTTAACCAGCATTCGTCACTGATTTCTGGCAAAGGTAAAGCCATTTCTCCGACTTGTTTGTGTTTTTCCTGCCGAGACGCACGTAAACATTCAGTAGTCGATGGAAGCCGGAATGATTAAGCTTCCCAATTACCGCTAACACGATGGTTTTCCTGTTTTATACCGAATTGGATAATAAAGTGGAATCAAGGGCACTTCATGAGGGACTTTCTAAGGAGACTCCACTTGATAGACGTAAAGAGTTATATCCGCATCACATTGCGGACCAGTGGAAATCGAAGTCAACTTCCATCTAACTATGCTGCAGACGTTTTATTTTCTATCTGGACAGCCAAGTTTACAAGCTGCATGGATCACGTAGAAAATGGGGTTCAGCTAGGCAGTCACATTGGCCGTATTCACATGCAAATCGACCTGCCTTAATACTACTACGCTATCTGGTCAACTGCTTGTACAATGAGGTTTGCGGTTCACTGCATTTGGCACATGACAGATTATCTTTCAATTGAAGACGACCACAATGCTTGTGTGAATTTACAAAGCAAATCGATTCCGTAGTTGGAATACAAACGTGGCTGGGCCTTTAAATCTTTCGTTGCCATTTTCACTGGAGCGTTGTTTCTTCAGTAGTTACTGCGAATTCATCACTTGTCCCGGAATAGTTTTGACAGATTTTGGTTGTGCAATTCACAGGATCACTAATGCAATCCTCATACGCTAATTGTTTATAAATAACCTAGAGATACTGCAAGATGCGCCAGGTCCGCTAGTGGCGGAAATTTGTAGGTTAAATACTGCGTCTTTGGGGACCGTTTAGTTGTAGAACGGCTGGTTTAATTGAATGTGTGTTCGGTCTTGTGCTGTAGTGCAGCAATAATGTGAAACCATAACTGGTGTTTTGTAATAGTGATAAAATTAACCGAAGCGTTATATCTGCATAAACATTAAATTGCTTATCAGCAATTTAATGTAAAAGGTCTGGGTTCAACTGTTCGCCGAGCTTCGCAATTGGTATGCAAACGTTCCGTCATCACACGAAGTGACTTCCTTAGTGCGTTGCTGGGTCAAATCTCATCCGCTGAGTTGGTCGCCTATTGTGATTGATCGGCAAGTGACTTTGGAATTGAACTCCTCTATCTGTGCCCCGTGAGCACTCGCCTGCCCAACTTCTCTGATAGGCACGGTTTTGCCCTGGCTGTTTCGGCTGTATTGTTGACAGCTCGTTTGGCTTCTCACGACGGTTTTTAACTTGTTTTAATTCTCTCCGTCTTAGCTTTTCGCAAACTGGATCAATCTCGACCTGCATGTTTATCAAGTGCTTCGTCGAGTATCATGCCTCGAGGAACTCTCTTCCTTTTCGTGTCGCTCCTTGTACTAGGACCTCTGCGTTGTTCCAATCGAAGCGATGTACACCTTCGTCTGTATGTATTAAAACCAGTAAGAGAGCGTAGTGATACTTGCAAGTCCTCTTGTGCTCTTATATTCTTGTAGACAGTGGTCTTATCGCAATCTTGACATCGTGTCTTGTAAACAACATTTCGTCTTTCGTATGCTTCGGATCTAGCTTTGGGTTTCGACAGGGTTCTTCTCAATGTGGCGGTTGGTTTGTGAGCCACTGTAAGACCGTGCGGCTTGAATAATCTTTCCGGCATCTCGGAGATGTTCTTTACATAAGATAGAACGATTCTCTTTGTTTTCGTTTGAGCAGGGTGGGAGGTCGTAGCTTTGTTGTTTAGACATCGTCGGATAAAGCTATGTGGATATCCATATCCACTTGGAACAGTTTTGCATTTCAATTGCGATGCCCGGCGAACAAATGAACCCAGGAACGATCAACCAGGGCTACCAGTGAATCAGGTCATTGTTATGTAATATTTGTGTAAAATTAAACCTTTAATCATAGTATGCAATCGTGCCTGAAAAATATGAACCTATAATTTGTCAGAGGGAAAAATGTGTGTGAATGCAGGGCAGAAGATTAACGGAAATGGGACTGCAAATTTTACAAAATGCATCCAGTTGCTCTGTGCAATTTGTACAACGGAATTATGCCCGGCGAGTAGTTGTTTCGATATCGCGAGTACAACAGTGAATATCAAGCAGATACTTCACATTTGTTATTATTCTTTGCATACAAAACGCAGTATCTTGTGCTAAGCCGTCTTCTAATTAATCTGTCATGCGGCAGAAGTTTGCTAAGAGATAGATGTAATGTGTTAGACGAATAGGAATCTAAAATAATTAAGACCCAAGCATAACCCTGACTTAAACTATGGTTTCATAACCACTTTCCTTCTTGGAGAAAACTTTGGATTAGGGAGTTTGACTCAAAGATAAGTCAAAGGTAACCCTGACATGAACTATGAACTTTGGGCACAATTCCCCCACTTATTTTATGGTTTTCACGACTCGTGAACCTGAAGCTCCCAGATACTGCACATAATTCAAAGTTTGTTTGGTGTTGGCTACAGAATCGGAAACAATTTGGGTCGATTTGTCGGGAAACTTTAAATTAAGGTGAGAAGCGCTGTCGTGGTTGCTAAAGTGGCCTTCCGCGCTGCTCTATCAAGAGAATACAAATCTTAATGCTTTTCTGCAGAAGTATGCAATCGCTGTATACTGATGCGGGGACTGTTTATTCAAGCAACACGTGCACCGTGTCATTTTTCCATGCATATACTTTACATTTTGGGTGGTACTTTTCAGCTCATCGGTAGTTAATATTGTAAAATGCTGTAAACTTACCCAGCTATGTGCACAAAGTTTAGTTTGACTTGCATTGACCTGTGGTTCGACGACGCAGTCCCCCAATTGCCCGCATTGGTTTGCGCCAAATGAACTGCAGGCTAGACAGAATATTGGCACACTAAGGAAAAAGTCGATCTAAAAAGAGGAGCCTTTTTCACCACATTAGACAGCCGGCTACTTCACTGTTCTCGCAAAGAGCAACTAATTGGCATGCAGGTTCGGCCAGTTGTCTCCTATCTTCTCAATATGAAGAAGACAACAAACAGGAGGGCTATCCTTTCCTACCGCATGACTGCTTGTTCTAGATCGATGTTTTTCCCCTTAACAGATTAGTTCAGTTAATGCTTCCTAATCACAATAACTAAACATTCTTAACCCCAGTACAAACACTGAAGCAGACTATGCGTCTAATTTCTAGCCATTTGGTGGATTTTCGTCTCCGAATGCTCGCAAGCCAGCCCAATCGGAATTACGAAGACTCCGGTCGATATTGGAACTCCACTAGCGTACACTCTGTGGAGCGATTCGGAGCAGACCACCTCATCGAGTGAGTATACTAACCTTTTTGTGATAAAAATCTCGATTTCCAATGCGGCCGTAGGAGAGTTCTCGTGCGTGACAAGTCCGGAAAGCACCTTAAATGCTCATGCTATTTACGGACCACTCAGCGTCAGCTGTGGTCAGACGAACTATCTAGCAAACAATTCATGGTAATATCAGACGTCTACGCATCTTGAAATGGTTATCTCGAACTCCATTCAAACCGCTGGATAATTGCTACCAGCGCGTTTGAGATTTGCATCTTATTCAGTAAATCAAGTGGGATAGCAAAACGCTAGGTTTTATGGGCTGTGACATTCTGACTGCTACTGCCTGGCTAACTCCCCAAGATGTCTAAAAGTAAGGTAACTAAATAGCTTGCGGTGACTCGACACCTCTCCCCACTTAACTATTAAAAAGTATAAGTATTCGTATCAAGTCAAAATAAGCTTTGTGAATCCCAATGAGTTCATTTTCAGCATTTACACCACCACTGCGGAGATCTGAATGATAATATCAATGTACCTGCTTGGGTAGAAAGGTGGGAAAGCAGAACTGTTACTCTAACATGCGCTCGCGCAGCATGTTAATGACTTTCGCTGCGTCAATAAGCAAGAGTGCGAGATAAGGCAAAACAGTAGTATGACCCGATGAAGTGCGGGAAAATAAAATTCTGAATTTTGAACGGGTAGAAGAGAAACAGAGCGTTTTGAAAGATCATTGTGCTATGGATGATAGCGATCAGTTAGTACCTTAGAAGAAAAATTATTACAGGCATCAAGTTATCTAGAAATGATCAAATGAACTAAATAATCTCCAGGCAAGCCGCTGCATTTAGAAATTTGCTTTATAGATCACACCAATAAGATGTAGTCTTTCTGAAGCAGTCAAGGGAAAATGACAGGAGAGCAGTATAGCCAATGGGGAATAATATAAGAGGTCACAAACCGGAATAGTAAAGTATGAGGTACTGAAAGCACCTTAAGTCTGAGGGCATAAAATGAAAAGTTTCTGACTTTTTGAAAAGTTTTACAGACGTGCGTGAACCAAGAAAGGTTCTGGGACAAATAAACGCCGAGATACTTGACGGTGGAAGAGCTGAGTATAGGATTACCATTCACAGTGTGGGGGAGAAAGCTATGAGAGACTGCAACTTATCGCTACGAAGAAACAACAATATTACATCCCTGCATTTAGAAGCATTGATCGTAAGAGATCTGGATGAAGACCATTGCACCAGCTCTTCCAACCCATGTTGAAGCGACGAAGAATCCTGGTTAATGTGGGACATACATCCAAGCACAACATCAGCATATTTACGCCCTATAAATGTGGTTGTATAGGGAGATGTTCAACATACAAGGAAAATAGAAAAGATTATAGGCTGGCTACCTGTAGAACACCACAAGGAAGACAGAGAAGTTCTTACCGTTCAACATGGTGAAGTGAGTACAATCTGTACACTAGTCACGAAACTGATAACACACACCAGGGCGAACTACATTTTCGGATAGCACGTTTAGCAACCTTAACTTATCCAGGCTTCCAAAAGCACTCGTAAACGTCTGCAACCAAGCTGCCCAGCTCGGAGAACTCCACAACAACTGAGCCCTCGAATAATCCAGAAAGAGAAGCCGTACGGATTTACATTTTTGATCTAATGCAGAGGATATAGAATGAACAGCAAATGCCACTGCATCCATTGTGGAGCGCTGGGGTATATACATGAACTGGTAGATATCGTCCTCAGGAGCGGCTAAAAAACTCCGCGGAATTAACAGTCTTATGAAACCATTAAGGAGCGCAGATGTACATGCAATTGGGCGGTACTTTTGAGATCCAGCTTTTGCTACTGGAGTGATACTGGCCGTACTCCAAACTCCCGCGACCACACCTGTAGTGAGGCATTTGTTAGAGAGGTCTGTTGGAGGCAGTGTGAGAGAACCAGCACACTCCTTGAAAACTAATGGTGAGAGTGCATCAGGACCATAAACTTTGGATGCCTTTAATATGTTGAGTTCCTTGTGAACGTTGTTTAATGAAAGAGCGCGGCTGGAGTTGAGTTGATGAAGAAGGGCAAGGAACATGAGCTTAGAGAGGCGGAACTAAACCCCGAATTCACTTTATCCGCATCCACTTCACCTCTCCGGTTGTAAACGCTCTAAGAGCAGATACGCCTCAGAACTCCCCATAGACCACGACAGTTATGGTTACCTAGAACTGCTTCGATGTATAATTGGTTTATTTATTTTTATCTCGGATTTAATTGCCTTGGTTAGGCTTTTGACACGGGCAGCGTTCTTACACTTGCGGGCCCATTCCTTCATCATTCATAGTCACTTTAGTAGTGGTGATCAAAATCTATATTCTATTAGCTAGATCCTTTCAACAAGGCAACATATGTTAAAGCAATACTTGATGTAGTCCGCAAGATGGTCACATTCGAGCGACAGGACCTCGTCGCTGAAGGTCGAAAAAATCAGTTAAAGAAAACGCCGTCTGGAGCCTCGTGATATTTTCTAAGGAGTAATTTCGTCGTTTGATAATCTTTTAAGGCCATCTGGTCGGAGTTGCAAAATTAGACCCGCTGTATATGACTGAACACAGTCTTAAAATACTACGGTTTGAGTTGCTCAAAGGAGTCCGCTTTTGTATGGCAAATAACGGTCATTTGTTCGAACACAGCGTCCAACTGGGCATCTTGTTTGGTCGAAACTCACTAGGACTACAAAGCAAAGTCTCTTCAAGCATGTTGTATCCTTTCTATTGAACTCGCCAGCAACAATACAGATAGAACCATCTAATTTAAGCAGTAGCGTTGTAAAGTTGGTCTCCTAAAAGCTTTAACTCCGATGCAGATGTGTCAGGAGCAATGTACACATTTCCAACGATGACTGATCGGAAGCCACTTAGGAATTTCAGTTTGCACTCAACTAAATGGCAGCTTATATAAATCGTTCAGTACGTAAATATTATGATTGGTGCATTGCACCGACGTTGATTGACGTAAGTTAGGACGCCACTACCACGAAACTGGAGTTTTCCGGGAAGGTCAGACCTGATAGGAAAATAACCATCGAGTTGAGTTACCCCATTTTCCATATCAGCATGCAAGTACCTTGCTTGTAACAGAATGATTCCTGTATTAACAAAGTCATTTCGCTGCATAATGGCACCGAGTTCACTGAGTTTACCAAGGAGCCAGCGAACATTACTGGAAAGTATCAGGGGGAGTTGCGCTTTGTCAACAGAACAACGACTTCGGCCAGATTGTCAGCCAACACGATATTTGCGCTCTTTGCCACGACTTTTATTCGCAACACGTTTGCAAGTGTTCCTGACTTTATGGCCGTATTCGATAAGGTACGGATTTAAGGAACTAACACGTGACGTTTTCAAAGGATGGACAGAGTAGGCCAACATTGACCTTGAGACATGAGCAGAAAATACAGATTGCTTCAAAGTTAAAAATAAAGTATAGGATCAGCAGTCTGTGATGTAAACTAATCCAATGAGAACAGAAACGGCCAAATTTGAAGGCCCCGCCACATGTATTGAGATGTATTGATTAGTTGAAGGCAGAACCCTGGAATAAAATGGCTATGAAAAGCAATCATTGGTTAGTGATCTTGCATAATATCTGTTTTGTTGTACTGTACTGATACGATTAGTGTAATTGGTATTTGGTATAATACGATTTCTATGTGCTCTCAAGGTGCGTTCTCACTTCAGCGTTGAGTTTAGCTCTGGATCCGTGTTAATTTTGCTTCTATCCCCAAGCTTTCATGCTACGCTGCATATTAATTCGGTTGCAACATATACAGTCTGGTGGGTGGGAACACATCAGCGCACCTGATTGTCGTTACTCACACATCCACCGCATCTGTGATAATGCGCAACAGCTTCCACGTAACTATTCTGTAATTAGAGTGTGCGAGCTTTTCAAAGCATATTTTCAATATCCTGGTCACCCTCGCCGTCACCAGTGATTTAGCCACAGCATAAAACTGAGGAACCACCGGCTGTAACTGGCCATCCAACACAGCAGGCTGGAATGCTGTCGTAATATTTTCGCTGAATTTCTCAGTAGTGGAACCCTCCTCCGACGTTTGTCATTTTTACTCCCACGACACCAATTTAAAAAGTGATTTTACAATACATTTCTCATTTCTGCATTAAGTGACGTGAACCTTCATAGAATGTCGACAAGACGTCGACATACACCAGTCCCTAAGAAATCTGGGTACGCGTAGTAGTATGTAGTATGTAAGCGTGACTATTGTGATGAGTCCACAGATGTGCAATTTACTTCGCAGATAAACTTTATTTCCGTTACTTTACGTATTCCATATAGACCGGCATACGGGACTTGTCAAGTGCCAAATTTCACACCCGTATTTTACCATTCCTCTATTATGAGGCTGCACAGCCAGGTTGTGCATTTCACTAAGAGACTGGCTCCTTAACTGACCTGTGTACGGCGAAGAGCAACGAGACGTGATGGCCTTTAAACTCACGCTACTCATTGTAACTCTCAGGCATGCACATATCCATTTGTTAAGTTAAATGAGGTCAGTAGAGCTAAATAAATAAATAAATAGTACGTTCTTCGGCAATACGAGGCACAATCCAACTATGAAGTCTGATCAATGTGTACAGCAGAATCGCGCAAAATAATCCATGGTTCACGCTTTATACAATGGATTCAAAACGGATATTAAAATAATTGGCAGGAGATCGAAGACGATATTTCCCTTTCATCATCTGTAATCCTTGCACTGATATCAAGCGTGTGCTGGACCAGTTCAGCTGTGTACATCCCTCAATGAAGTTCATTAGTGAAATGGAAACTGAAGGTAGGCTGGCTTCTCTAGACGATTGGTTGAGGAAACGCGAAGACGGATCACTTGAGCGCAGTGTCTTCCGCAAAGCTACATGGGTTGGACAGTACATACACTTTTCGAGCGTCGTCCCTCTGATGTACAAACGAAACTTAGTGCGTTGTTT